CTTTTTTTTCCCCCCCGATAAAAAATCGCTTGTTGGGGGAATCCAGGGAATTTAAAGGAATCTAGAATCGGGGGGTCCGAGATTCGATTGGGGCCCTGAGCCGTTGGGGACCAGCTGCACATGACCGGGGGCCATTCCCATGTGGCAGAGGATTTTTGGATGGGCGGTGGTTCGGACCAGCGGTCCTGCAAAGGAATAAAATACCAAGGGGTTCCTTTACAAATGAAAAGGAACCCCGTTTAGGGGTTAAAGGGTCCAGGCAGCCAACTCCCAAAAAAAGACCTTGGCTTTTTCCCCTCTGGGGGGAAAAAGAGGAGCCCACACCCCCCCAAAAGGGGTCCCTTGACGCTAGGGGCACAGGGGCACCCCCAGAAGAAACCGCCCCGGGCCTGCCCCGTAGCCACACATACCTTGTAGGGCTCAGGTATTTTTAGGGCTATTTTTTACGCAGGTCCCTGGGGCACATTTACGGCCTGATAGCATTTGGGGCAGCCCCCCCCCCCCCCCCGCCCCCTTCTGCCCGCCCCCGCGCTCCCCTCTCCCTAAGACCGCCTGACGCCTGTGCCAGTCCTCCCAAGGGAGCTCCCACACACGGCCGCGCCTAGATCATCTCCGCGACGCGCGCGCGCAGCGCCTCCTCGTCGAGGATCGGCTCACTCGAGCGCGGCCCGACCAGCGCCGCCAGCGCGAGGTACCAGGTGAAGAGCCCCTCGGCGGTGGTCGCCGCGAAGTCGAGCGTGCGCCCACGGAAGAGGAGCGAAAAGCAGAGCCAGTCCCGGTCCTTCTTGGCGCCCTGCGCGCGGTAGAAGGCCGCGCTCTTGGCGCCGTGCATCAGCGCGACCGCCTTGGAGAGCGCCATCATCGACTTGCACTCCTTGGACTTGGTGTCGCCCCAGCAGATGGCGCTGCCGTCCGCAGAGATCCGCACCCACCGGGGGCTCGACCGGCCGTCGCGGTGGTTGAACTTGATCAGCGTGCAGCCCGCCTTGGCCGCCGTGAAGTGCTCGAGCGCCGTCTTCCGCGCCACCATCGCAAGGATCGCAACCTACGGGCGGGCACCGGGGCACTCGGCGCTCGGTGGCGTTGGCCACAGCCGGCGCGACACAGGGCCGCGACCGCGTCGAAGGAGCTCGGTCGCCGCTCCGGCTGGCAGGCGCGCACCGCCCGCTGCACCTGTGGGACATGGACAAAGTGCATGTCGACGGGTGTGCATGTTGTCGTGGACGTGCCCCGCCCCGCCCGCCGCACCTCCTCGAACCACTCCCCCGTCTCGGCCTCCGACTCGCCGTGCCACGTGTACCCCTTGCCGTGCCCGTCGACGACGGCGAACCCGTGCGTCAGGTGCTCCGTGCGCGGCAGCCGCTCGACCTACGGGACGTGCGATGGGGGGGCGAGATGGGGGGCGGCACGTCTGGGACGTGTCTGTGCGGCACGTCTGGGACGTGTCTGTGCGCCGGTGCTGCGTGCGCGGCGACTCTTTCTCTCTCACCCGCGTCCCCTCGCCGAGGGGGATCTGGCCCTTTTGGACGTAGCCGCGCCCGGTGGGCACGCCGTACACGAGCAGGTCGGAGAAGAGGAAGACCTAGAGAGGACACGTCCAAGACACGTCCCGCCGACGCGTGCCGCAGAGGGAGACGAGCACGGGACGCGGAGGAGAGGACGGCCTTGCGCCGCTGCCGGTGCGCGAGCCTCACCTTGGTGAGCTCGCCCTCGCGCACGAAGGCGCGCCCCTGCCGCACGAGGCTCTTCTCGAGCACCTGAGCGGCGCAGCCGTCCGGACGTGTCAGGGCGCGCGTGTGCTGCAGGAGCGCGCCCCCCCCCCCCCCTGGTCGCGTCTTCCCGAGCCTCCGGCTGCGCGAAGCGCCGCGCGATCTCGCGCAGCTTGCAGAGCGTGGCCGACACGCGCGTCTCCTCGTTGATGAAGGCGGCCACCTGCGCGGCGGGGTTCAGAACGGAGGCTTGATGGGGTGTGGCTCGCCGCATCTCCTTGTCGGCGTGCGAAGGCGGCACCTCGCGGATGCGGGCGAGCGCCTCCCGCAAGTCCGCCTCGTCCGGGTGGCCCGGCTCGGTGTGCGCAAGCAGCTCCTCGAGCAGCAGCCTGCGGGGAGGGGGGCGCCGCCGCGGCGGAGCGGGGTGGCGCGAGGCCGCGCAGGTCGACAGAGCTCCATCTGGGGAGGGGCTCACCGGTAGCGCGGCACGCGCTGGATGGGCTGGATGAGGAAGGAGCGCACGTCGAGCCCTCCCGCGTCGGGGTGCGACTTGCACACCTCGAGGTAGCGGTGCTTGTCGGGCGCCTTGCTCGCGAGCGCGGAGATGTGCGCCTCCGCCTGCGCGTAGTTGGAGATGTACCTCGTGTAGCAGCCCTTGATGTCCTTGGCCGCGCCCGAGAGGATGGCGCCAAAGTGGCCGCTCGCCTCCTCCTGCTCGAGCCGCTCAAGAAAGCGGGCGTGCAGCTTCAGGAGGACGTCCAGATTAAGGAAGACCGTGTCCAGGTCCGCGTGCGAAAAGATGGCAACCTTCGCTCCCGCGTCGGCGACCATACGCATCGGGACCATGTAAACCTTCTCGAGCGTCTGGAGCGCGGCCACATACGTCCGCTCCGTCGACAGGATCTCGCCCAGGACCCTGCGGCGTCGCTCCTCGCGCTGCGCCGAGGAGGGCTCTGCCGCCGCCACAGGAAGCGGCGGCGGAGCACCCAATGAGAGGGGCGGCGGCCCGCCGGCAGGAAGAGGCGGCGGCCCGCTGAGCGAGGCGCGGACAACAAAGAGGTCCTCCTCGGGCGCGTCGACATCGTCCTCGTCCTCCAGTGGGAGCGAGCTGCCGGCCCGGGAGCGGCGTGCCGAGTCCTCCGACTCGTAGCCTTCGCCGCAAATCCAGCGGTCGGGCTGCTCCCAGCTCGTCTCTCCCGTCGCCGGCCGGTGGTAGTAGTAGTCGCTGGACGCCTCGTCCCAGTAGCGAATCCAGTCGCTGGCGGCGGCCGGAGTCGCCATCAGAGGCGAGTCAAAAGAAGTTGACGGACGCGATAGAAACCAGGACGATCGCGGGCAGCAGAAGCAGCGGTGGCACCGAGGATGGTGGCCGCGATTGGCGATCGAACTTCAGCTGGTTTTTTTCTTTTTTAAGAGTTTTTTTTCGTGCCTGTGCGACCACTTTCGGTGGTAAAATTCTTTTCTCGATACGTAAAACAATACGGTGGAGTGCGTCGCTGGTGCAGCTGGTGCCGCGCCCGCACGCGCGCGACGCCGACGGTCGCGCTCTGGATGAGAGAGTGAGAGAGACCCCGCACCCCCCTGCATGGGTGCGCGCGTGGCTCCTGGCCCGCGCTGCCGGGGTCAATCCGCGATCGAGTAGTTGCGTGTCACCCGGCCGTGTGTCCCTCCGGTCGAGAAAAGAAGCGCCGGTGGAAGCGCGCGTTGCGATCAATGCGCGGCATACGGAGTGGTGAGCGCCTCCTCCTCCTTGACCGGGCGCCGAACCACCCAGAACTTGTGGCCGCCCGCCGCGAGCATCGCGGCCACGGCCACGGCGAAGCCCGCGGCGCCGGCGGCGAGGAGCTGCACCCTCGAGGTGGCGGGCGCGGCGGGCGGCGCTTGGAAGAGCGACGGCTGCTCGCTCTGCAGGAGGCTGAGGCCGGCCCAGCCAATCGGCCAGGTGCGGGTCGGCCGCTGCGACGCGTCCATGCTCGTCGCGCGCAGCCCGTCATTGTAGTCGCCCAGCAGGCCCCGAGGGCCGTCGAGGCGCTCCTCGAGCTGGCCAAAGCTCGGGACCGCCCAGTCGCACTGCTCCTCAATCATCAGCGAGTTGATGCCGCGCTCGAGGCGGAACCAGCCGCCCTCGCCCCAGTACGTGCCCCAGGAGTTGCGGATGATCCAGTACTTGACGCCGCTGCGGGTGACGCCCCAGCCGGTGACCGACACGTCGTGGTCGATGTCGTCGGGCGTGTGCTTCGACCGGTCAATGTAGACGCCCTCGTGCTTGCCCGCATTCTGGCTGTAGTTGTGGAGGAAGGGGCCGTCGGAGACGACGCCGCAGACGATGGGCCCACGGGCGAGGATCTCCTTCATCATGGCCTTCTCGCCCGACACCGTGCCGTACTCGGACACGCCGAACCCGGTGAAGGAAGGCACTCCCCAGCAGCCCTCCTTCTTGTCGGACGCGCAGTTGCGGCACACCCCCGCGAGGTTGCACACGCCGTTGCGCGCCTCGTAAGGCTGGCACGTCTCGTCGCCCACCGTGCTGTTGGTGAGGTATGAGTGCACCATCCACGCGTCGCCCCCGTTGCAGCCGGGCGGCGGCTTGGACTTGTTGCGAGAGTCGTCGGGGATGCAGTTGATCAGCGCCTGGCGTGAGAGCATCACGTCGGGGAAGGCGCCGCCCCGCATCACCTTGACGCGGTCGTTGAGCGCGGCCACCGTCCCGTGGACCCAGCACGAGCCGCAGTACTCGGGTATGTGCTGGTTCACATCGGCGGTCACGTAGCTCTTGCCACCCACGTCGCGCCAATCGTGCTGCGCGGGGAGGTAGTGCTCCTCGATGTGGTACTCGGGGAGCGGGCTGCGCACGAGAGAGAGCAGCTCCGCGGGCCGCCGCGCGTGGCTCGACGCGTGGCCCTGGCGCGAGGCCGAGAGCGTTGCGACGACGAACATAAAACAGATCTCGCCCGCGGGCTGTCGGTGCTCCCGCCCGACGCTTATTTGTGTTGATTTTAGCGCTTCGTTTCATCGTTTATTGAACGAAGCGCGGCGGTTCTCGGCGGGCGAAAGTTCGCCGACGGTTCGGAGACAAGGGTGTGGCCTCGGTACGATGCGGCCGTCGCCAGAGCTTGAGAAGCGGCGTGAAAGGAGTGGCCGCGGGCGCTCGACGCCACGGCTCTACGCCTCTACCCCAGAATTGTGGGGTAGAGAAAAAGAAATAAAGGGACACCCCCAAGCTTGTGAGACATTTAGCGAACCGCGAATTCTTCTTCATAAAATTCTTTTTCTCCCACCTCCGGGCGTTTCCTCTGGGTCGCTTGTCCGGCCCGGCTTCCACAAGCCAGCGCGCTTCCGGCCGGATGCTCGCCGATCCCGCGGACGCGCCCTTCTTCACGCAGGCCGAGGTGCTGGTCAACACGAGCGGCACCGGGTGGAGCGTGCGTGGCACCGGCCGCGTCATGTGGCAGCAGGTTGATGAGCGCCAACAGAGGCTTGTCGTCGCCCCGCCGCTCTCCTCTCCTGCGGACTGTCACGCGTCGTCGCTCGCTGCGGTGACGCTCCCCGACGCCGCCATCCAATTTTCCCTGCCGGTGGACACCGTGCTGCACGCGCTCCCGATCGACGGCGACGAGTGGGCGATGCACTTCGACACCGCCGAAGAGGCCTCTGGCGTGTGGGAGGACATCGTGATGCTGCAGGCGGCGGCTGGGGTGGTGACGACGGCGGCGGGCTCGGCCAGCGGCGCCGCGGTTCCCTCGCCGCTGCCCGACCCCGCAAGCGAGGGCGGGCTCTGCGAGCTCGAGCGGCTCCTCGGCTCGCTGCTCTACTCGGACAACTACTCGCCCCCCGAGGAGCCGCCCGGCGGCTCGCTGCTCTCCGCTCTGGGCATCGTGGCCGAGTCGGCGGGCGGCGAGGCGGACGACTACATCGCCTCGATCGCCTCCGCCTTCGCCGCCGCGGAGGCGTCCAGCGGCGAACCGCCCGCCGCCTTCGGCCGCGTGGCCTCCCTTCTCCTCGCGCTCGCAGACGCGCGCCCGCGGCGGCTCGTGGCGCAGCTGCCGGCGGCGTCGCCTCACGGCTGCGGGCTGAAAACAGGCGCCTGCGCTGCGGCGGCTCATGAAGGACGACGGCGCGTCCTTTGTCTTTGGCGCGCTGGAGCACGAAACGCGCGCGCTGCTGCACGTGGAGACAGACGCCGCGAACACCGCCTTCCGCGCCCGCCTCGCCTCGCCCGCCTGGCCGCCCTGCCCGCTGGCGTGGGAGGACGAGGAGGGGCTCGCGCTCGTGCAGGCCCTGCGCCGGATGCAGCTGCTGCAAGACTCGGTGCCCCGCCGCCTCGCGTCGCCACAGAGCGAGCGACGCCACACCGCCACCCGCCCCGCCCCTCCTCGCAGGTCCTGCCGCTCCTGCCCAGACTCGCAGAGCACGGCGCCGCGCCTGCCCCGCCGCTGCCCTCGCCCCTCGCCCGCAGTGGCGGACGCCGCGACCCCCTCCTCCGCGCAGGCGTCGCCGACGTAGTGAGCGCAGCCGCGCAGGGCAACGCCCATGCAGTCGTGGCAAAGCTGCAGCAGGACGAGCCGCGTCCTCTCCCCGCCCTGCCCCCGAGGCCGGACACGGAGGTTAGCCGAGATTGCCCGAGGTTAGGACGAGCCCTTCCTCTCCGCCCTCCTCTCCAGCCTCCGCCACCACGCGCGCGGCGGCGACGGCGCGGCGCTGCTCCAGCTCTGGTCCCGAGATGTAGCCGAGAGGTAGCCGAGAGGTAGCCGTGGTACAGGAGGCGCTGCTCTGGCCCCCTGCCGCGCGAGCCGGCACCGCTCTCCTCTCCCCATCCTCTCGCCTCCCCTCGGCCGCAGGTCCTTGCTCCTCAATTAATTAATTATTGAATCCCTCGGCCGCAGGTCCTTGGTCCGCGAGCTGACTGCGCTCGCCTCCGGGTGCGACTCGACTTGCGACGCGCCTTCGCCTCTCTCCGACCGCACGGGCCGAGCCCCCCTTGCCGCCGTAGGCTCCACCCGATCGAGCGGGCCCGCGTCTACCGCCGCCTCACCTCGCTCGGCCTCCTCGCCGCCGCACGATCCACGCTCGGCGCGGCATCCGCCCCCGCCGGCGCGCATGTGCGCTGCTGCGACGTCTTGTCGGCGGTCTGCAGCCACGACCCGTCCCTCCTCCGGAGCGACGAGGTCGCGCAGCTGAAGGCGGGGCCGCCGGAGGCTGGGCTGCCACCCGCCCCCGAGCAGGCAGCCGCAGCATCGCAGGCCGACGCGTCGCACCTCCCCGACGCGTCCGGCGGCACCGCGGCCCCTCCACCTCCCGCCGCTGCGGCCTCCACCTCCCAGCTGCTCGCTGCTCGCTTGTGCGACACCGCCGACGAGGGCGTGGCGCGCCAGGCCGCAGGTGCGCCCCCCCCCCCCCCCCCCCTTCCCCCCCCCCCCCAACCACCCACCCTTTGCCCACGCCCTTGAGCTCGCCCTTGTCTCTGCCCGCAGAGCTGCTCGGCGCCCTCCTCGACCCATCCTCGATGGAGGAGGCCGAGGTGCGAGGGCTCGCCCCGCAGGCGCGCCACCAAAGCCGTGCTGACTGAGTCAGCACTGGCCACCCAGGCGCCCTTCCTCGCCGCGGCGTACGCGCCCGGCGGCTGCGTCTCCTCCCTGATCCTCCACCTCGGCCACCTCGCTCGTGCCGGCCCAGCCCCCGAGGCCGCGCAGCTGCCGCACTCGCCTCTCCCCGCCGCGGCGGCGGCGCCGGTCCTCCTCGAGCTGCTCCCCCCCCCGCTCCGAGATCACTCGAGATCACCCGAGATGACCCGAGGGTGTTAGGTCCTCCTCGAGCTGCTCGCGTCCCTCCTCGGCGCGCACGGCGAGCGAGGCCTCCTCGTCGCCACCTCGCCGCAGCTGTGGCGGTCGCTGAGCGGTCTGCTCGAGCAGCCGGGCCGCGTGCTGCGCTGCTCGGTCGCTCGCTTCGTGCGCGTGCTGCTCGCCGAGGCTGCGGAGGCGGCCCACGCCGACGGCGGCCCGCTCCTCCGCCAGGGCGGGCCGGAGACGGTTCCAGGAAGGGTCACGTGAGGTCGGCGTGTTAGGCGTCGCTCCGCTGGTCGGGCGGCTCGTCTGCCTCGTCGCTGCGGACCGCGGCGGAGGGGGCGGCGTGCGCGACTCGCTCGCAAACTCGGCGGTCCACTCGCTGCTCGGCTCGCTCCTCATTCATTAATTAATCAATCAATCACTCAATTCATTAGGCGGTCCTCTCGCTGCTCGACTCGCTCCTCATTAATTAATCAATCAATCAATCACTCAATTCATTAGGCGGTCCTCTCGCTGCTCGACTCGCTCCTCGCGGCGAGCAGCGAGCCGGGGGCGCGCCACTCCGCCCTGCTCTCCCACCTCGCCTCCGACCAGCGGAGCGAGCTCGAGTCGCTCGCCGCCGAAGCAATCGCCCCCGCCGACGCCCTCCTGCGCGCGCACGCCTCGCCCGTGCCGCTGCCCTCTGTCCTCGGAGCCCGCCGCGGTGGCGCCGCCGGCAGCGAGCCCGAGGCGGCGGGCACCTTGAGGAGAGGGCCTTCGCTGCTCCGCGACTCGCTCGAAATCGACGGCGGCGGCACCGCGCCTTTCCTACGAGCCATGCAGCAGGCGAGGCGACATGCCGAGCCGACCACCGGCGGGATCGAGAAGCTCTGCTTGGCGTGAGCGGCTTCACGGGCCTGTCAGTCCTGCCCCAGTCTCTCCCCGACGTCTTGGACACGCTCGGACTTCCGTCATGGCACTCACTTTGGTACACACAGGTCCCAGTATCAGCTTGCGCTGCGCGTCGCCGCGTCGTGCCCGGGGGGTGTGCGGCGCTCTCCGCGGTCTCCGCCGTTTGCGTCTCTTTGTGGTTGGTCATTGTGCATGTGCGGCATCGTTGAATCGTTCAGCTTGGCGTGATGCCTGGCGCAGTTGTGCGTGTGTCTCGCCAACCGCGCGCGGGGGCCGCTCCCATCGCGGTGTGGAGCGTGGAGCTCCGCGGTACACGTTCAGCATACGCGGCATACGCTTAGAGTATACGCTACTGTAGCTACGTGCTAGGCTACGAGAACTACGACCTGAGGAGTGAGGTAGGGTACGGTAACGCGTAGAATGGTCTCTCTCTCCGCCCTTCAGGGCACACGCTCGCTCGTGTTCCACTGTGTTTTCATCAACGATCACGAGCGCAAAACCCGTAAGCCGTATTGACAAAAAAGTAAGGTAAGGTAAGTGGTGGGGCAAAGGGGGGCGACCCTCGCATCTCCACACCCGGACACGGGCAGGAGCCCCACGCGGCCTTCAAAGTGCAATACGTGGGAACGTGGCTGGGTTCACAGCGATTCTAGGAAAATTGGGGGACACTTGACGGTCGCACAATTGTAGCCCTGGCCGGTGCGCGTGCGGAGTTGAAGTTCCGGAGTGAAAATTCGAACGCGTTCTCTCACGGTGACCAAAAAATGTCCACCTCAGAGGCACCTCCGGAGGCAGGCCGCCGCACGCCGGCGACACAGCTCCAGCTGTCGAAGTGACCCGCAGCTCCTCTCAGAGCGGGAACTGTGACGAAAGTTGACTGAGGCGGTTGTCAGGAATCATCATACGGATCACATGGTGGCTCTCTCGTGACGGGAGACCGCCCGACCACTCCTGGGTGGCACTGCCACCGATGTCGCTCGACGTCCTGTCGACAGCGTGCCGACAGCGACACAACCATGTGGGACGCGTCGAGTATCGACCTCTACTGCTTACCCAGCCTTCGAGTGTATCCTGGCTGTGGTCCCACACCCACTGGTGTCCATCTCAGAGACCGCAGGAGGTCATGAGGGTCGATGGGAGTGCCAACCCCACGGAATGCCTAAAAACCCAGCCCAGTAAAAGTGTTGTCGTAATCGTGGACCTCGACCTCGCACCTCGACGACCTGAAGGTCGTGTGGAGCGGGGTACGGCGTGTGCGCGTTACGGTCTCGCTGGACGCGCTGCGGCTCGCGGGCCGTATCTGCGGCGGCTCCTACTGTATAGGGGGGGGGTCCGGCTCCCGCTTACGGACTGACTAGGTCCAGCCCTGGGTGGCGCAAGATCTGACGTTCTGTGACAATCGTCAGATCCGTGTTTTTTTGGTCTTGCGGTACATCTCTCCGCTCGCCACCTCACGCTCCGCCGTCCGGCCATGGATGGTCCGATGGAGCTCGCCGAGCTCCATCGGACCATCCAACTCCGGTCACCGAGTCTGAACGCGCTCAGCCTCAGGAGGTACCAAACCGCGCGAATTCTGCACGCCTCGCTGCACCGCTGGCTTGACTGAATCAGGCAGCAGGCTGCTGCTGCTGCCACAGCAGCAGTCTGCTGCGGCCCTAATACGCAAGTTGATGACTAGCAGCACTGCCGGGGGCATTCGAGCCGCCACAGCCGGTGTGCGGCTGTGCACTGCCACCTACCCGCGGCTACGCACAATGTGCGCTCGCATTGGATGAGCCCTGCTGATGGACCTGCATCGCCTAGCTGCACGAGAGCAATGCCGTAGGCAGTGGCCGTGGCATACACTGCGAGCACACTTGGTGCAGCTGCGAGGTGCAGCAAGAGCACGTCGTTCCTGCCTCTGATGCCACTCTCGCGGCTTGCAGCGCGTCACTCGCGCATGCTCTCCAGGAGCTATGGCGGGCGCGTGTGTGCTGTGTGGGGCTGTAGCCTGTGTTTGGCCGGTTCTGACCCGTTTACTATCAGTATCATGTCCGGGCCACAAAAAATCGCACACGGGTAGCGGCTCAGGGGCCCAGTAAGTCGCGGAATCGCCAAATGTCACAACCTGCGCCACCCAGGGCTGGACCCTAGTCGGCTTTACGGCTCTACGCGCCATCTGCATCTCCGCGCCGCACGCCCTCTTTTACACGGTGTGCACAAAGGTCATAGTGTTCAAGCGCGACACCCGACAAACGCACAAGGCTTTTTGGCACAACGAAAAGGCACACGCGCCGGGCGGGTGTCAGCACCGACTCTCCTGTCCAAACAAAAACTGGCTGTGCTGGCTTCGGATGTGCTGCATGGCGCGGGGGAGCGCCGCCTCCTGCTCCGCCCGCTCGAGGAAGCGGAAGCCCCGCACCTGCCGGCCCGTCTCCTCGCAGACAAAGCCGTCGCCGTGCATCACATACTCGTGCAGCGTGTAGTCAAAGGTGAGCGGCGCGCCGGCCGGGAGCGCCTCGATCGCCGTTGCGGTCAGCACCGGAGGATCGGGATCGCGAGGCGCGAGCGGAGGGTGCGTGATGCGCACACTCGGACGGAACGAGTGCTGGAGGAAGACCCACGGAGGCTCGCCCTCTTGGCTGGCTGGCGTGAGGAAGCTCTGCTGACCAACCTGCACGCAGCGGTCGCCGGTGTTGCGCCCGACGATCTGGCCGCTGAAGCGGAAGATCGCCGCGCCCGCTGCGACCGGAAGCGCTGCGACCAACCGCTGCCCGGCGCCGTGCCGCTGCAGGCGGACCGCCGCGTAGCTGCCGACCGGCGGCACGTGCATGCAGTCGCGAGGAGCCGGTGTGACTCGTGAAGAGTTTTTTCTTTGTTCTTCGGACAGTGCGCTTTTTCTTTAACTGGGTAAAAAAGAAAAGTCCGCGGAACGGCAGCGCCCCCTTCCTCCGCGTTTGTGTGGTGGCGGCGTGCCGTTCTCCCCTGCCTCCGTTTCGGCCGCCTCTTTCTTTCTTCCTCCGCGTATTAGCGGTGCCCAGTCGACACACATATGCAGCGCCTCGCCGCCGCCGGCTTCACCGCGGCTGGCGCCGTCGGCGGAGCCGCCGCCGCCGTGCTCGTCGGCGGCGCGTCGAGGCCGTCCAAAGAGGAGGAGCCGTCGCCTGCGGCGCTTGCACGGCGCTTCTGCCCGTATGGACTGCCCTCGGACGAGCACGTTGTGGTCAAGCAGGGATACGCTTCCAGCATCAACTTTCGGCTGAGGATCCCGAACTGGGTCGCGGAGCACTACTCGAGGGACCAGAGCGATGCGGACGGAGTCGACCGCAAGCACTCCAAGTTCCGTGCTGACGAGAGCGTGCCGGCCGACTTCCGGGCCACCAACGACGACTATCGAGGCTCGCGCCTGTCGCGCGGCCACATGGCTCCCGCCGGCGCGCACAAGCAGTCCCAGGAGGCGCTGGACGAGACCTTCCTGCTCTCGGCCAACATTCTGCCGCAGGAGCTCTCCAACAACGGCTCCGACTGGCTGCGGCTCGAGCGCTGGTCGCGCGGCCTGCTCAAGGAGTACAGCGACGTCTACGTCGTCTCGGGCGCCCTCGCGCCCGCGCACCAGCCCGCCGCCCGCCCGCCGCCCTCACCTTGGCACTGCAGTCGCGTGCCGGCCGCCCGTTGATTGAGACGTCTCTGCGCGTGCACAGGGCCACTCTTCCTTCCGGACGACAGCTCCGCCGCGAGCGACGCGCCGCCTCCGGCAGCAGCCTCAGCCGCAGCCGCCGCCTCTGCCTCTCCGGCCGTCGACGCGAGTGCGGCCAGGCGGCGGCCCGGCCCACGGCGGCGGCGCGTCGCCTACGACGTGATCGGTCCGCACGAGGTGGCTGTCCCGACGCACCTCTTCAAGGTGGTGTTGGCCGAGCAGACGGGCACGGGCGAGAGGCGACTCGGCGCCTTCCTGCTGCCAAACGCCCCGGCGCGCGTCGCCACCCGCCCCTCCTCCCTCCTCTGGACGCGTCCTGGACCCGTCCTGGACCTGTCCTGGACCTGTCCCGCCGCTCTCCCGCTCCCTCCCGCAGGTGCGCGGCCACCCCGACATCGACGAGTTCGCCGTGCCGCTCGCCGACGTGGAGCGCGCCTCCGGGCTCACCCTCTTCGAGGAACTCGGCGCGGCGCGCCACTCGGCGATGGAGGTCCGGCCGCTCTGCGGCGCGGGCGCGGCGGCACGGTGCGGCAGAGGCGCCATGGACGGGCGGATCGCGGGCTGGAAGCTGCTGGGCCACCTCAAGCTCGCGGGCGACTGCAGCGCGCTCGAGGAGGCGTGGGGCGCAGTGCCGCCAAAGACGGAGGCCTTCGGCTTGATGCGGCGTACATATGAAGACCGATCCGGGACGATGGCGTGCCCGCTGGCAGAGAAGAGGGAGAGGAGAGGGGACATGACAGCTGTGTGTGGAGAGGACAGGTCAGGAGCGGGATGATGATAACATTCGTGCACAAAGCAGATACCAGACCTCGGTTTCCCATAGGGTTTCTGCTGCGGTTTCCCATCGCGGTTTCCCATAGCCGAAAACCCAGGGGTCGGTCGGTTTCTGCCGCGCGCTCTGTTTTTTCTGGGATCTGTTTTCTGGGACACCCGCCTCGATTTCCCGTGGGATCTGCCCGTGGGTCTGGTTTCTGCGGTGTGAAGACATCTCCCGCTTCGTCCTAATGAGCTCATTCCGGCCAATGAACAGGTGTACCCCCGTCCGTACCCGGGGGTATCGAGCACGAAATCACAGAGAGAAAGAACATTGCGCGTCACGCGATCTGTTATTCTGGGATCTGCTATTTCGGTCCCCGATGGCGAGCTGGCTCGACGATCTCGGTCTCCACGAGCTCGAACACATCAAGGATGGCGCAAGTGCCTTCGCGCAGGAGCTCCACCCAATCAACTCGGCGGAGGATTTCATCAGCTTCGTGGTTGCGCTCAACCTCTACCCACCTGGGACGCCCTTACGCGCGGAGCGTATTGCTGGGGAGATGCCGGCAGGCCTTTCCGCTCCTGCGGTGCGGTATCTGCTAAAGAAGCTGCCCATTGTCGATCGGCTTGCCTCTCAGCTTCGCGACGACCCGAGCCGCAAGACCGTTCGGCTCGTGCCGGACGTAGAGCACTGCGTGGCGTGTGGCCTCGCTGGGGAGGCGGTACCCCTGGTGGTCAAGTGGGGTAGCAGGTGCTCATCTCCAACGGTCTATGCGGAGCACGGGCGACTGAAGGGCGAGCTCAATGGCCTCTCCTGCCCTCGGTGCTCCGCGTGGCACAGCATGTCGTACGCTGAGGGCGGCACGCGCATCCCAGCTGGCAAGCAGGTGCCCTACCCAGGGGCGACTGCATCCTCACGCCGCTGGGTCCAGCTTTCCCAGAGCACCGTGTTCGAGAACTCGCTGCTCGACAGGTTGTCGGCACAGATGGTGCATTCTCACACCGGCTTCGAGACCTTCTGTCACGAGTGGGCAATGCGGTGCGGCGAGTCAAAGGACCTCGTCCATACAATGCGACAACGCCTCGGGCACACCTGGCTAGCGTGGTCGCTCCTGCGCTGGCGCGACGAGAATGCGTCGCGGGCGGGGGAGCCGCTACCATCCGAGCCGCTGGGCTTCACATCCGAGGAGCAGCTCGATGCGACTTTGCTCAAGCAGTGCCAAGGTCGAGATGCGAGTGGCCGCCTCCAGCCCGAGTGCCTGCTGTCCCGCTTTACCGCATTTTGGGCGGGAGAGCACGCGTCGCGCTGCCTCAAGCCGGTGCCTGGCAGCAGTACGTGCGACTGCTACATCATCGATGGACACCATAAATATCGGCGCAAGTGCTGTTCCAACCGGAACGCGCGCGTTGTCGATATGGGCAAGCACGGAAAGGCGACTTTGGGCTGTTCTGGCATGCCCGTCCCTGGATCGCGCTTCTGTGTACGTTGCCGTCCCTTTGCGGCGCGTCGCACCGACCAAACCGCGGAGCTGGAGCCGGGCAATCAATCGACGGTCACTGTCGACTTGTCCGCGAGCGAAGGGCTTGCAGCCGCGTTCAATCTCCGCCTCGCAAAGCGACGACGGGCTGCGCGACAGGCGTCCACCAAAGACTCCCGTGTCTGCGAGCCCTGCGACGACGAGGCGATCTGTGAGCCATGCGCCGAGGAGTCGGCTGCCGTGCCTCCTGGACATGTCTTTGACTTTTGCATGCTCTACACTCTCCCACATGTCGAGGCGATCGAGTCCTCGATCCCTGACGCTGGTGCTGGCCTCGGCACGAAGAAGGCGTTTTCCGAGGGAGAGGTTGTAGTTCACATGGAGCACCAGACAGCAGTCGACGAGGAGGAGTGGGCGACCGTCATGAGCCGGCCGAGCCCGTCCGTCAAGCACGACATGGTCGTCTGGTACGAGAAGTCACCTCGTCGAGACAAGACATCACCTCGTACAGGCTTCACCGAGAGGCCGCTCGTCGAGGCGCAGCCGTCCGGCGAGACGACCTGCCCCAAGTTTCCTTGGTACCTGATGAATCACGCGCCGGATCCCAAGTCGGAGATGACCAACACTGCGGGCCAGGTGGCAAACGTCGCTCTCAAGGTGCTCAACCCGGACTCGCCGCCCAGCCAGCGCCGCCTTGTCTGGGTTGCCGCCACCCACATACCCTCGGGTACTGAGTTGGTCTACGACTACGGCGACGTCCCCAACGAGTGGAACGTGGTGCAGCGAGAGTCCTGTGTCGATGACGCCACGGGGGCCTCTAACCAGCGCGTGCTGCGCCCGCGAGCCGCCGCCATCGCGCCACCCCCAAAGCGCGCCCGCGGCGCTAGCGCTGCTGCTGCCCGTCTTCTGGAATGGCGCGGCCAGCGGCCGCGCCCGCTGCTGGCTCTTGGGGCCTTCAACTCCGCGGCTTCTATCGGCGTTGCAGGTGGCTCGAGGCGTTGCACCTGTTTGCCCATTTGACCTTCATCCCGCCCTCCGCCAGTGTGCACGTGGCCGCCCTGCCGCGCGAGGCCTCCAACCTGCGCACATTGACAGCGCGTGACTCGGAGCTCAGGTGTCATTAGATTCTCTCTAATATTCGTTGGCGTGTGTCAGACAGGAAGCGTGTAAGAAAGGCTGACTGACTTACCAAGGTGAGGAGCCGAGCCACGTCCTCCGATTGTTCGTCGATTCGCACACGTGAACCTGCTGCACCTCGTCGCGCAGCGCCGCCACCTATTCACAGGCGGAGAACGACATGAGAGCAAAGGCTCAAAAGTGTCAAACTCATTAAGAAAAGAATTTTCTCCGCGTGATCTTGGGTCCGATGGTGGGCGAAATGAAGAGCGGTGTTCAAAAGCTCGACGCGTGCGTCCTTTTGTGCGGACTTCTCTGTAGTCTGTTGGTCGTACGTACGTGGAGACACATATGCTGCTCCGGAGCCGGGCCCTCTCCGCCCGCACATCGAGCCCGCCCATCGCCCAAAGCCCCCTGCCAGCGCTTCCCTGCGGCGCCCAGCTCGATCTTCATGAGAGCGCAACCCTCGGCCTTGGCGGCCAGGCACGCATGAGCCGCGCGATGCAAATGCGAAAGCCAACCGCAATCACACCCGCTCAACGGAACGCTCACTTGCCACAGGTGTGGTGGCCCGCGGCGGCAGCTCTCTGCCGCTGGCTGCTACGGGCCAACGTGCGCGGCGCGAGCGTGCTCGAGCTCGGCGCCGGCACCGGCGCCGTCGGTCTTTTTGCGGCGGCGCTTGGTGCCAAAGACGTGCTGCTGACCGACGGCGCAGAGGAGGTGGTCGAGCTTGCGGCGGTGAATGTGGAGCGTAACGCGCCGCTGTGGCGCGACGCCGGCGCTAACGTGCGCGTTTCGCGCCTGCTCTGGGGCAGCGCTTGCTTGCCAGAAGGCTGGAGCGATTGCGCCGCCAGTGGCATCCTCATCCTCGGGTCGGATGTCACCGCCATGACGGGCGACCACGAGCTGCTCTGCGAGACGCTCACGGGGCTCCTCGCCGCGAAGCCCGGCTCGCGTGCCGTGCTGGCGCACGAGCGGCGCGGCTGGCTCACCACCTCAACCCACCCCGGCCTCGAGTTCCACTTGGAGAAGCTCCGGAGGCCGCGGGGCGTCGAGGCGCGCGGCGAGCCGTCACAAGGCGTCGCCGAGGACGGCCAGCTGGTCCACTTTGGAGAGGTCGCGGCGCGAGCCGGCCTCCTCGTTGGCGAGCTTGCTGGCGGCAAGGAGGCCGCCGAGGTGCCCGCCGGCGCCGAGCGGGTGGGCGGGCGGGTCTCGATGCTGGAGGTGCGCTTGGCACCGGCTGCTGCCATCCAATAATCGCAAGCAAGTCGCACCTCGCATGACTAGCGGCGGGGCTCGTGCGCCACCAGAGTCTCGCCCGTTAGTAGCGAACCGCCGTCGCGCCGTGTGAGTGCCAGGCCCAGGGGCCCATTACCTCGCGTCGGCCTCGGCACCCGTGGCGGAGCTCGCACGTGATCATTGTGACCTTTCAGAAAAGAATTTTCCGAAAAGAAAAATCCTTGCGTGCTGTGGCCGCACACCGAGCGCCCGCTGCTGTGGCCGGTACCACCGGAAGCTGCTGCTCATGCTTGCGGCGGACAAGCTGCTGCTGCAGAGCGAGGTCAAGCAGCGCGCCATCAACCTGCGGGAGCGGGAGCTCAAGCTGTTCAACTCGAACTTTTCGGCCGTCGGCTCGCAGTCGGCGATCATGGCGGGCTTCACGCTCACCTCCTTTGTGGAGATTGACCTGCCGCCGGAGCGCGCCTTTGCCAAGGGCGTGCTCCACTTCTTCATCACCGCCTCCGTCTGCGTCAACTTCATCTGTGTCGCAATGGTGATGTTTGTGACGGTCTGGGGATCGGGCAAGGCGCTGCGCGGGCTCGACGGCTCGATGGACTACGCAGTCGACTCGATGAACGACGAGCGAACCTTCATCTTCACCTGCTTCGCGCTCGGTGTGCTCTCCACCCTCGGCTGCATGTTTGCCGCCGCTTGGGTGCTGATGGAGGCGCGCGCCACGGCCGGGGAAGGCCAGGACATGGCTAGGGCAAGTCTCCCGCGGGGGGGGGGGGGGGGGGGCTTCCGCCGGAGCGAGAGCGCGAGAGCGCGCGCGCGGCGAGGGCGAACACTCGCGAGATCCCCACACACCGGATGGGCGGCAGCAGGCGGGGGTGTCATGTTCGCGCCCTCGGCCCCTCTCCAGGAGAGCATTGCAATGTGCGCCTCGGTCTTTCTGCTCACGACGATGTACATGGTCGGCACAAGAGCTGCCTCAGACGCCTCCCAGACGCCTCCCAGACACCTCGCGCACACGTCTCCCGCCCCCTGCCCCCTCCACACGGCTGGAGGCCCGCAGAGACAGACTTAGAGAGCCTTCTCCGAGCCTCCTCAGAGCCTCCTCGGAGCCTCCCCCCCCCCTAGGTTGGCTCGGAGGCCCGCCGCATCCGCAATCGGTGCCGGTCCCGCCGTGCCGCCCGGCGGGGTGGGCGGACCCACCCCCCACCCGCCTCGGCGCGCTTGCTTCAGGTTTTATGTCCCGCCCGGCGAGGAGGTTTCATTCAACGAGTTCAAGCGGATCGACCCCGCCGACGAGATAGCGCGAAAGACGCTCCGGACAGGCTCGGCGAGCCCGTTCAAGGGGCTGCGTGACGAGTGACTGGCCGCCGAGCGGCCTCTACGTGGGAGCAGCACTCTGTCTCGACTACGGTATTCATGATTCGTGTGACTGTGAGTGGCGACTGATCTGTGCGGGAGAAGCGGGACTGCGCTGTGCGCACACGTGTGATCAACGAGAGCTTCTTTTTGCGGGGGTTTAGCCCAGCGCTCTCTCCAGCTTGTTTGTTATGTGTGCGCGAATAACAAACAAAAGCAAGAAATCACTACTAGGTAAAAGTCGCACTCACAAGTGGCTCTCTGCACCGTGCACGGGGGCCACGCCCACGGCGGGCGTGCCACGGGGCGGCGGGGGGGGGCGGGGCGGGCTGCGCTGACGCACTCAAATAATTTCGTCAAAAACACACACTCAGGACAACCAGAGCCTCTGCGGCAGAGAAGAAAAAGGATCGTCCACTTTGCACTGACACGGCAAGCGCGCTCTGCCCCGGATTTTAAGCAGAATACCCGGGACCGCGTCGTATCGCAAGTGTCCGGTCGGCGGGGCGGCGGAGCCACGCAGCCCCGCCGCGCCCCGCCGCCGCCGCCGCCCCCGCGCCGCCCTGCGCTCCGCTCGCATGGCATGTCCCTTCCAGACGTCGCACTCAAGGGGACCCGCGCCGGCCGGGGCGGGCGGGAGGGGGGGGGGGGCTAGTCGCAGCACTTGTCGCAGCAGTCGCAAACGTGTATGCAGTGGTGGATGACCGAGAAGCAGTCCTTGCCGTCGTCCTTGCGGCGCGGCTTCGGCACCTCGCGGATCGCGACGCAACAGCACGCGCCGCCGCTCGCCGACTCATACCCTTCGATCTTCAGGCAGCAGCAGCTCCCGGCGCCAACCTGGTAGTTGTCTGCGGCGCCGCAGCGGCAAAACGTCAGGACGACGCCGGCGGTCAAGAAGGCGACGAAGCCGACGAGCACGCACAGGACTCGCGTGATATAGTCTGCCTTTGCGAGCAGCAGCGGCATCACCGCATCGAGCGAGGCGTCCATCTCGCGCCTCATCCCGCGCCACGGCCCGCTCGCGCCCGCGCCGGCGAGGTAGGCGCCGCCGGAAGAGGCACCGAGCCCCAAGTTGTCGATCGCGCGGTCGTTGCTGCCCGCGACAACGCGCTGCACCTGGTCGTACTCGGCCTCGTACGCCAGCGACCGCCCCGCCCCCTCCCCGCCCCTCCCCGCCCCCTCCACACCCCGCCCCGCCCCTTCCACGCCCCTCCCCGCCCCCTCGCCCGCCCCGCCGCCCGCAGCCAGCTGGCGGCGGGCGGACGCCCCGCCCGCCTCCGCACCCCCGGCGCCGATGCGTCCGTGCCCCGCCTCGTCCGCCCACGCCTCCGCCGGGTTGGCGGCGAGAAAGGCGCTCGTCGCCGCGTCTCGCAACGGGTCGCCGCTCATGTTCGTCGCGCTGATCCAGTCGCAGAGCAGCGGCGCGACCGACGAAGCGAGGCTGCTCCGTGCCGCAGACGCCTCCACTCTGCCGCCGTACTCCTCCCCCCCGCCGCCCGCCCGGGTCGCGTTGGCCGCCGCCGCCTCAAAGGCGCCCGAGCAGCCGCTGACGTTGACACCGGCGCGGCCGCGGTCGACGAGCGGGATGTGGTCGAGGTAGAGGCCGCCCGACGCCTCAAGCTCGATCGCCCCCCACTCCGCCCAGCAAGACGGTGTGGTGCAAGGACCGCCGCCCTCCCCGCCCTCCGCAGGAAGCTCCGCGCCGCGCGGCTGCGCCCACCGAGACAGCAAACCGCTCTCCGACGACCCGCCGCCTCTGCTCAGCCACAGAGGCCGTCGCCTGCCTGCCACAGCGCCGCCGCCGGCCGCACTGCCGGCCGCCGCAGCACCGCCGCCGCCGGCCGCGCTGCCGGCCGCCGCAGCACCGCCGCCGGCCGGCCGCGCCGCCAGCGCTCGGCGCCGTCCGAAGGCGAACTCGCCGAGCTCGTCGTGGCCGGTGGAGGGGAGGACGGCGTACTCGGCGGCGAGGAGGGCGCTGATGCCGTAGAAGCGGAACACGAGTCCGTCCGGGACGAGCTGTGCGCGCGAGGCGGAGGCGGCCCAGCACGCGCCCAGCTCGATCAAGGGGCCCGACGAGTTTGCGAGGGGGCTCTCCTGGTAGGAGAGGGACTGCACTGCCGCGCGGCGCAGCGAGAGCCGCTCGCCCGAGTGCGCCCAGAGCAGCTCGTCGTGCCACGAGCGCTCATCGAGCGGGAGGGTGGTGTCGGCGGCGGCGGGCGGGAAGGGCGGCGTCGGCATCCGCTCGAGAGCCTCCTCCGCCGCGCTCTCGAGGAGCGGAAGCATCCACGGCGGCGGCGGGTGGCAGCCGCGCGGCAGCGGCTTGCAGCCGGCGGGCGAGCCGAGCTGCTCGCAGCTCGGCGCGGTGAAGCGAGTCGTCACGGCGGCGACGGCGGCGTCGAGAAGCATCCACGCAGCGGCGCACGCCATGATGACGAGCACCGCCAGCGCGGCCGACTTCCACAGCATCGGCCCCTCGCTCACCTTGCCCTGGTCGTCCTTTCCGTCGGAGGAGAGGCCTCGCGACTCCTTGCTGCTGTCCTTGATGCACATGCACCCCTTTGCGCGCTCGACCAGCGACTTGTCCGCGCCGCCGCTCGACCCAAAGGCGCGACTCGCAGGACCGTCCGTCGCCAGCCCGCCCACGCCGCCCCGCGACATGATCCCGACCGCGGGGCCCGCCCCGGCCACCCCATACCCGGGCCCCGCCGCCCCCGCCACCCCCCCCTTCAGGTCGAGTGCAGCGCCCTCAATGATCCGGTTCCCGGCGAGCGCCTCCTCCTCCTGATACTTCTGCCGCTCCACCTGCTCCTTCCGGTCCTTGACGAACCTCCGGTTCGGCGGCGCCACACCCGGAGGGGGCAGCACGTGCGTCGGAGGCCGGTGCCGCGGCGGGGCTGGGGGTCCCCTCGGAATGAACGGTTGGCCGGCAAAGGCGACAAAGAGCAGGTCGTCCTTTTCTAGGACGTCAAAGTCGGTGACCATCGAGCCGTCCTTCAGATAGAATCGCGCGCGCTCGAGTTGTGCGTCATCGATACTCGCCTGGCTTCCTGAAATCAAGGCTAGCTTGCTGCCGATTGCTCGCACGACCTCTTTGTATGGCGCTCCGTAGACCATCCGCATCGCGATGCGAGGGTCATACTCGCCATTGGGGACGAGGACGACCCGCCGCCCGCCCGCCGGCCCGGGCGCGTCTTGCATGGCGGGCGGTGCGAGAGGACGCGGAGAGGAGGTGCGAGAGGGCGCGCTCCGCCTTGCGCGCTCCGCCTTATTCAGCCCTCGTCCCAGGGGTGCGCCGCGTTTGCATCTACTTTGCGCGCATTTTTTTTCATGAGCGAGACAAACACATGCGCCCTACGGCCGGCGGCGACTCGAATATTGCCGCACGGCGCACGACTTTGATTTTTTCTGAGGTTATGTATCCTGAGTTGCCAACAACATACCTACAACCAACGGTGATGTGCACGGGCGGCGGGGAGAAAGAAGTTTGAAGCGAACGCGCGAAGAAGAAAAACCGCAATTCTCCACCGCCTCTGCGCTGAAATGCCGCAGGTTTCGCAGGCGGTGGCGCGCTTTCGTCGCGGCGAGACCGTGTACTACGTCGGACTCCGCTCGAGTACGATGATGCTCGAGTACGGCCAGCGAGGCGTTGTGCACTGCGACCCCGAGGGCGAATGTTACGACGTGCTCTTCGACGGTCACTCAAGGATCGTGCGCTTTGGCCATGATGACGATTGGCCCTTGTCCGAGCTGTGCCGCGCGCCTCCTCCGGTCTTACTGGCCGGGCGCTTCACAGTGGGAGAGACACTCTACTACACCGGCGACACCGAGGTTTTTCCATGTGGCGACGAGTTGCAGCACGGTTGCAGAGGAAGAGTGCTCGGACCCGATAATGATTACGTCCTCGCGGACTTCAAGGGCGACGATGAGGGCTATTGCATTCGAATGGGCTTCGAAGGCTGCAGCAACTCGTTGCATGTCCCTCCCGAGGAACTCAGCCACGACGACCCTCTCGCCGGCACTGCGCTGAGGCGAGCGCGCGACAAGATTCGGGCGCGCCGGGAAAAGGAGGCAGAGGTGTTAGCCCCGCTCGCTGCCGCCTTCTCCATGCTGATCGGACCCGATGGGCGCATCGCCAACGAGCGAGTTCAGTCCATGGTTGAGGGCATACGTCCGATGCTGGACAACTTAGACAAAGAGGTGGCGCACTGCGCCCCTTGCCCAGCCTTAGCGCCCCTGTGCACCAGCCGGCCGGCCTCGGGGGCCAGGAAAGATGCGTGCCCACAGCTTCGGCTTTTGTTTTCGCTCGCTTAGGCACAGGCGAAAAGGCGCGAGGCGGAGGCGAGGCGGCAGCAGCTGGCCGAGGAGCTGATCGCCGAGGAGGAGGGGCGAGCCGTGCCTCCGCCTTAATTAACTAATTAACTAATTGATTACGTAATAAGTTAGGAGGAGGGGCGAGCCGTGCCTCCGCCACGACCGGCCAAAGGCCGCAACAAGAGAGGCAAGCAGCCGGCGGGAGGCAGTAGCGCGGCGGCGGCGGCGGCGGCGGCGGCGGCTGCTGCCGCCTCGGCGGCTACCTGCGGGGGCCTCGGCTGTGGGGGTCTTCGGCCCCCGCGGCCCTCCGGCCTGGCCGCTCTTTGTCGACGCTCCTGCTTGGGCGCTCCACGTGCTTCGGCGCC